CCCTCCCACGCTGCCGCCCAGGCAGCATCGCGGCACAGGCGTCCCCACGTAGCTTCACTCGGGTTCGGAAGCACAAGTCAGTCTGGGGGAGGCTGGCCTTTTCTGGAGGCTGAAAGATATTTAATAGTACAGACATGGCCTGTTCTGTGCCTGCAGCCTTAGTGCCAGAGAGCAATGCTGGATCCCATAGCCACCCAGTGTGAAGAATCAGGAAAACATAATCAATTGTCGTTTTCTTCCTTATAGATCCTTGATGATTTAGGCCAGTAGGAGAGCTTTTAGGAAAATACCTGAATCTGTCAAAGGAAAACTTTAAATTAATGATGGAGCTAGAAACTCTCTATATTCATCGCTCAGGAGGCACAGAGGTGGACACAAGCAGAGAAAAGGAGGGGCTACACAGTACCGATACTCCAGACATCTCAGAGACCTGTAATGTTGTTGTTATTGTCATTTCAGGCCATCTTTCTGACAGAGAATCTCATGCCCAAGTTCACGTGATTGTTACTGATGAAAACGATAATGCTCCAGAACTTGTTTATCCTGAGGAACCCAGAGTGTGTGAAAATGCTGCACCAGGAAAGGTGAGGCAGGAGGGAGAGTTTTTCCTTTAAACTTGAATCATCTACTCGCAAGCTCAAGATGTCTTTTAATAAAAGTTAGTCTCAGTTTTCATACCCAAGCACCTGATTTCCAAAACAGCAGTGGTCAGAAATCTCTCTCCAGGACTTCACACTCTTGGAATATTGACTTTTATCTGCTTACACGCATGGGTTGTAGAGTTCCTCTCCCTCCAGGCTTTTAAGTCTGTACGTGCATCAACAATTGAACCGTGAAGTACAGTCAAGCCTTGCAGAGCAAAAATTAGCAATTCAGTTTTATCACACAAACGTTCAAACATGATACTGAGCACGAAACCATTTCAAAACACTACGAGAAACATTGCTGCATATAACATTACTGCAGTATTCATCAGAGTGCAAGTATCTGCACACACAAATAGCATTAGTATTTGTGGGTATAGATGTTTGGCCTCAGACACCAAGCTGAGAGTGTTGATCTGCTTGAGGGAAGGAAGACTCTACAGAGGGATCTGGACAGGCTGGATCGATGGGCTGAGGCCAATTGTATGAGGTTCAACAAGGCTGAGTGTCAGGTCCTGTGCTTGGGTCACAACAACCCCATGTAATGCTACAGGCTTGGGGAAGAGTGGCTGGGAAGCTGACCAGTGGAAAAAGACCTGGGGATATTGGTCGACAGCCGCCTGGATAGGAGCCAGCAGTGTGCCCAGGTGGCCAAGAAGGCCAATAGCATCCTGGCTTGTACCAGAAACACTGTGGCCAGCAGGACTAGAGAAGCAATTGTCCTCCTGTACTTGGCACTGGTGAGGCCACACCTCAAATACTGTGTTCAGTTTTGGGCCCCTCTCTAAGAGACAGACATTGAGATGCCAAAGAAGGGCAAAGAAGCTGGGGAAGGGTCTGGAGCACAAGTCTTAGGAGCAGCAGCTGAGAGAACTGGGGTTGTTTAGCCTGGAGAAAAGGAGGCTAAGGGGAGACTTTATCACGCTCTACAGCTACCTGAAAGGTGGTTGTAGTGAGGTGGTATTAGTCTCTTCTCCCAAGTAACAAGCACTAGGACAAGTGGAAAAGGCCTCAGGTTGCGCCAGGGGAGGTTTAGATTGGATATGAGGAAAAATTTCTTCACTGAAAGGTTGTCAAGCATTGGAACAGGCTGCCCAGGGAAGTGGCTGAGTCACCATCCCTGGAGGTATTTAAAAGATGTGTAAATGTGGTGCTTAGGGACATGGTTTAGTGGTGGACTTGGTGGTGCTAGGCTAATGGTTGGACTCTATGATCTTCAAGGTCTCTTCCAACCTAAACAATTCTATGATTCTAGGATTTGGCCCATACATGTAATGTTTGTTTAATTAGGAGACTGTCACACACTAGACTCCCTGATGGAATCTGTTAGAACACACAAAGTATTATTTCACCTTTAATTTAATTTTTAAAATATCCTTGGGACATTTTTTATATTTTATACATCTAATCTACCCCAGATTGAGGTTTTCAAAAACAAGCATGTCATTCAGGAGTGGCAGTCTCAATGACATTCACTGAATGAGTCATACATCTAAGCAAGTTGAACACTTTAGAAGACAGTCATCTCGGGTATTTAAATGAGCCGTATGTCTTTGAGTATAAGATTTTTTTATGCTTTAATTACACAAGATTTCCTCTTTTTTTTCCCACCTGTGAATGAAAGGGCAAGACTGCTCTTTTTGAAGACGTACAAGGAAATTACTTGCCTTGAAAGAACTTGAAGAGGAGAATCACAAGATATCTTTGTCCTACGCTTTACTGAAGGGTTATATGGGATACACAGCCCAGCTCTAACTTAAATACTGTAGGCGGTTTTATCACTGGAGGCAATGTATACTGAAAATTATGACCTCTTCCATCTTCATAGGTAATCATCAGGATTTCAGCTACTGACAAGGATGAAGTATCACCTAGAGGTTTCTTCAAATACTCCCTGGCCACAGAAGATAGCAACTTCTCCTTGGTTGAGAACTATGGTAGCGTATCCATGCAACCCATTTTCTCAGCTAGTCAAAAGTGAGACACTAGGACATGGTGGAGAAAAGCTGTAGCAATGACCTACAATTGGTCTAGCTGAGCTAAGTAACTATTTATTTTTACAGGCTTAACTTACCAAAAAAAAATGTTGTTTGTTGCCACCCAAGTTTCACTTGGTTCCCTAAAGGCTGGCTCTGTCTAAGGGGAAGATGTACCAACTGACTGATAATCTATAAGGAAAATCTGGTAGAGATTATCACTTAATTAGATGTCGTTACTTCTTCCAGATAACACAGCTAATATCACTGTCAAATATGGGCAGTTTAATCGTGAACTTGCCAAAATCCACTACCTGCCTGTCATCATCTCAGACAACGGTGATCCTGAGCTCAGCAGCACAAATACACTTGTCATCAGTGTCTGCAAGTGTAATGAAAAAGGCAACTTCACTTTTTGTGAGGAAAGAGCTAAACAAGTTGGAGTTAGTATACAAGCACTGGTGGCAATTTTTATCTGTATCTTCACAATCATTGGTAAGTATTTGCCTTTTGTAATGTTCTCTGACTTAAAACGTGGGGATTGTTTTGTTTTTTCTTAACCAAGATCTACAAAAGCTTTGTGGCTATAAAACGGCCACGAAGGCAGAAATACTGTAACTATTTGATTCATCTCATTTGCTCTTTGTATTCGGCCTGTTAGCATCATTTCAGCTACAAAGCTGTCCATTCTATTGGAAAGGCTGAGCCACTGGAAAGGTTACTGCACGTATGCATAATAGACTTGATTTACTGTTATTAGGCTCACATGCAGCTATAAAACAGGAAATTTATGCTGGGGCAATAACAATAGGATTCCTGTTTCCAAAGGCTGAACTAGTCTGGAAACCCTTTGAACAGTACAGTGAACATATATTCATAAATAAATCTGTAATGAATCAGCAGACCAGTACCTATTTGCTATATTTGGAATCTACCAGAGAAGGGGCAACATTTTTTCTTGCTTGAGAAGAGGCCTCCTTTGTAATTACCACATAAGTAGTATTTGATGCCTGGCATTAAAAGATTTACCACTTCGAAGCAGTAGTTGATTCAACGAACTTGTGACACTATACATTTGTACTTGTGATTCCAGCTGAAGAGTCAGTTGTACAATTCCTGTACAGACTGAACAGCTTTGAGAACATATGAATTCTACAGTTAAACAGTGTTTTAAACATTTTTTTTTAATAAACGTGTCAAAAAAAAATTTACTCCAGAAAAAAAAAACAAACACACACATTGATGACTGTGTTACATACCTTAAATGCAATTTGGTTTATTTCCTTACTTCTCTATTTACACGTGCTCATCTAAGTTTTCTTTGCAGTAATCACATTGCTCATTCTTCTAAGAAAAAGACACAAGAAGGATTTGAGCGGTCTTGGGAGGAATGTGGCAGAGATTCATGAGCAGCTTGTCACTTACGATGAAGAAGGTGGTGGTGAAATGGATACCACAAGCTATGACGTATCTGTACTCAACTCTGTCCGCAAAAATGGTGTAAAACTGGAAGCAGTTCCCTCTCCATATGCACAAGTTCAAAAGCCTCCTGGAAATATAACTTCTGGTGCTGGAGAAATGGAAATGATGATTGAGGTTAAGAAGGATGAAGCTGACAATGACAGGGATTTGCTGCCATATGACACACTTCACATTTATGGCTATGAAGGTGCCGAGTCCATTGCGGAATCTCTCAGTTCTTTGGAATCAGGCTCCTCAGACTCAGATATTGATTACGACTTTCTAAATGACTGGGGACCCAGGTTTAAAATGTTAGCTGAGCTGTATGGATCAGAAGCAAATGAAGATTTTGTGTATTAAGTTCGAATTAGCCATTAATTTTCTCCCTCCTGCTACAGATAGACATCAAGAGCCTGCCAATGGCCAAAGAAGAACTCATAGCTCTCCACCCAAGCCATACTAGGATTTCGAATAGACATGAAAAAAACACTTGTCAGCAGTAGGGTCAAAAAGAAACACACAGATCATGTATATTGACTTCCTCCAGCACTGCTATCCTTGCTAACATTCAGCTCTTTACTCAAAATTGCTGCTCGAGGACCTGCTCAAGTCTTCTAGGACACAACTTCTCTCCCTAACCAGATAGATGTGTCTCCTTAAAAAGTGGTTTTGTCCCCAGTTTCTCCTTCACTCATCTCCTGCTATTTTCATCAACATGCATTCAAGGTCACCATCCGCTGGAACAGAGAGGTTCAGTGGCGTTGGGAAGGAATGTTTTGAATAACCTCCTGTGTCTCCAGCCGGCTGGTTTGCCTGGCCTCTGGTAACATCTTTATTGATATTCCACGCTTATGCTTACCCAGCAGAGGAGAGGAGGAACATATGGTCTATCACTTAATATTAGAAATTATTTCATCACTTTCGAAGAGAGGCATGATTTCTCTTTCTTTCCAATCTATTAATTATTCTTGCTTTATAGTCTCCTACTACATATATGAGTTACTAAAGATAAAATTAGACAGGATTTTTAGATGCACAATCTGGTTTCATCTGTCATTTTTAACAGGCTGATGATGATTTCAGACACCTTTCTGGCATGCTACAATCACTCTAGCTAGCAGCAAAATTGTTTTTTCTTTCTGTAAATAAGATCTCCATGTTACTCAATGGAACATATCCTGCAGGGCAGGAAATGTATAGATCAGAGGAATGTTAGGACTCCAATATTGTAAATCTCTCTAGATGGCAACACAGGTCTCTCCAGATTTCTAAAGAGGTTGAATAGTTTTTTTACTCAACATTACTAAAGCAATTGTATTTTTTCAGGGACAAACAAATGAAGGGCCTCATTACTGTGAAACTGTTTTGATTTTTTTCTGAGCAGGTACTGTAAAACGGGTATTTTCCATCCAGGAAAATATTGTAGACTTCCAAACCAGAACTCTACACACCCACACAATTGTGTGCATAACAGAACTGCAAATATAAGCCAGGTTTTGGAGCTGCAAGTACTACGTCCCTGGCAAGCGTGCGTTTAGTTTCTTGTCTGATGAAGAGCCACAGAATGAACAGAACGAAACTTCCCATGTGGGAAGTTATCCAGCCAAATACAGTTTGTAAAAGCGTGTCTTTTGGGACAATGGCCTGTCTCTGGCTTCTGGCAATGCAGATTCCCGTTGCCTTCAACAGGAACAGAGCCCTGCCACACAGATACTCAATTCTTCAGACTCTGTGCTGGAGCTGTATGTATTAGTTTAGTTGATTTGATTATTTAAATTTGATAGCTAACCAAATAACACTAAATCTCTTTTTTTTTTTCCTACACCCGTAGTGTGGAACCTCACAAATTTGCTTTTCACTTATTCATGTCATCACTAATTCACACACCCTTCCTTGAATATGCTTTTTTGGCAGGAAATAGCAATGCACTATAATATGGTCTCACATTAGTCCTCACTCTGTAAAAAGTTGTTCAATACAATACTTAGCTGGACACTAATGCCTACTATCATTAACAATACAATCACTCAAATTTTCAAATATGAACTAAAGGGAAACTAAGTAGAATTCTGTCCATCAGTCAAATCAGCTTTGGATCACATCCTTTATAAAAGAAGTGCGTTTTGGGGTAACAGTCTTGGGTTTATTTTTAATGTGTTTATTCTCTTCTGTTTTGCTTAACACAGTCAAGAGTGCATGCTACTGAGGTTCCACATAGTATATTATAAAGAATGCTAACTAATAATACTTACAGTTTAAAGTTTTCATCAGTAACTAAGGTATTGGCTATCAACAGGTAAAGTTAGTTATGAAATTATTTAGTGCAGTAAGTAAAGTACTTTGGTAAGCATCATCCAGACAGTATTACCTGTAATCGCTATTTTTAAACCTCTTTTTTAAAGGTATTTTAAGGAACACTGTATCAATTTCCACTGTATAAAGATGTTTGCACTGGATGGTTTCTTTTCATATTCCTGTACTGTTTGTTGTTTTGGGTTTTTTTACTACATAAAAGACAATCTCAAGCTTGGATTTTCTGTGCATTAATGAGTTTCACACAGAAGACAGTAACAGGCTTTGTACCACTGTGAACTCAACCATAAAATCATTGGTGCCCAGGCACTAAGTGAACTCAGACTAGACACAAATTCACCAAAGGACTTTTTGTAAAAGTTTTCTCTCACTCTTTGGAAAGCTGTCAGTAAAGCTCCTGGGGTAAGGAAGAGAAAAGCTCCAGTAGTCCAGTCTGTTTACAGCAGCTGGTAAGGTTGAACCCTCTGACTTTGGAGGACTCGTGTCTGCCAGTGCTACAGGATGCATTCAATTTCCGAGCAGATGTTTGGTATTTTAGCAGCCAGGCATCACGGTGATTTTGAACCACCATGTTTACTGAGATCCTGCCCTTTTTTCCTACTGGAAAAGTACCCCTTTCAAAGGGTAAAGGACACACTGCAGAACAGAAAGTACTAACACCCAGGGTCAGCACGTATCACCCACCCATGGGGGAACTACATATATACCCACTACCTGAGTGGTCTATCAGTGTTACCTCAGTGGGAAGAAAGGCTGAGACCCCCAGCACCAGCACCCCCGCCCCTGGCCTGCTATCTTCTTCTTCTCTGATCTGCTGCTACAGACCTACGCAAGCAGGATTACTCTGTAGTACACAAAAAGCCCCAGCTTTCTCCCAGTCCAGGATTTCGATAGGACATGACGGAAGAGTACACATCTGGGACAGACAAAAAAGAAAAGACCCCTAAATTTGCACTTTAGATAGCACAGTTTCATACTGTTTCTTTTTGCTACTAACAATGACTACCTCAATATATTCCCAAGATTATTCTAGCACTTCAAAAAAAAACCACATCAATTTTTCCCAGATATGGCACTTATAATTTACAAAGCCTGGAATAAAGCAAAAAAGTTCAATTCCTTCACTGCTAATTGCCACGAGCAAACTTCAGATCAAACACACTTTAGCAAGAGTTGTATTAAAAACACAATAGATGTGCTAATTATGTTATAATGAAATGCATTTTTCCATAGAAAGAATTTTATTAAACAGCTACTTGCAACTTGTAGCAGAGATTCTCATAAAGGTTTTCATTATTCATTTAATTAATATGCATTTTACTCTCTCATCCCTAAAAATATATCATAAATTATTATTTTATTACATTGACGCAGAAGTTCATGCCATTTAATAAAGGTTTTTTACTCCCACCCCATTAGAAATTTTAATGAAATAACGACTTGTGATCAGAATCCTTGATACATATCAAAGCAGCAATGAAAAACTGTTTGAATATTAATACTTGGCACAGTACTGCACTTCCCAGATAGGTCAGGTGAGCTAAGGTCCCGTTATCAAAATGAATTTCCACTGTTCAGAGAAAGAAGGAACAACTGTATCGTGTATTATCCGATTACAGTCCAGTACTACTGATACATTGTCAGGAAGAATATAACAGCAAATCCAGTGAAAACAGAAGGATTAGTTATAAAAGGGGGAAAAAAAAAAAAATCCTGAGTTCTTGTTCTTCAGTTAGTGAGTTCTTCCCTTTCCTCCTTTCAGCAACAAAGCCTTACAACAGCACTACAAGGGACAAGCAGACCTGGCAATCAGACCTGCTCAAGCACAGGTGTTGTCATCCAGCCAGGACTCTGTAGCGAGCAAGTCACATAAAGCCACACTGGTTTTTTGGAGCTTACAGTTCGGTGTACAGATCCACCTAGATACATTTATTTTAAATGTTTTCACTCCTATGCATATGTCACATGCAGGAGAAATGCTCGTGGTGGTAGTAAACAGATATATCATCCTGTTTGGCTAGAAATAATAGTTACACTTATTTCCATTACATTTCAGGTGGGGCTAGGACAGAAAAAAGGAATAATCACCATCTTTCCTAAGCTATTCTCCCTTCCTACTCATTTTTTTAATAAATGTTTCAAGTGTGAGGGAGTAAGAAAAAAAACTCTTGTGATTTTAACTATACATTCTTCCTGGAATGAAAAAAATAATCAAGGTGGTACCTTTCCCATTTAAGAAGCCATCACAATTTTACTGCAGCACAAGTTATCAAGTCTTACCAGGAACTGAATAAGAGTCTGATCAGATCAAAGTAGATGATTCAGTGTAAATCTAGTCCATAGAAAAAGCATGACAGAAAACAAAACAGCAAGTATTTCCTTTTTCTGATGCAGACTAAAAGAACAAGAAAACAAAACCCGCAAAACTCTTTCATGAGCAATAAAAAAACATAGATATTTTCCCACCTTTCTCAGCTTCCTGACTTTGTTCCTGCCTGACCTGAAAGGAAAGGAGAAAACAGCATTTCTTTCCACATGTCCCCAATGAGAAGCTGTCCCACCTGTTTTCCCACAAGTCTCTTAATTCACTCTAGTTTAGCCCATCATCAATGCCACAATCAATCATAAATCTCAGCAATTCTTTCATTCCTCATTAAAAAGAAACCTCTACTTGAAAGCCAGTGCTCTGAATGAAATTGCCAAAAGCAGCAGAACAAAGCAAGACAGAGTTCACCAGGCAAACACAACTGAAAAATAAGCCAAATAAGGTTTTTCAGAAAGTCAGTAACAGCTGGACTGCAAATGGTCCAAGGAGCATCTCTGGCAGCATCACTAGAGCTCAAGGCCTGACCTGCAATGCCCTCTACAAACCAGTACATTCTCCAATGGAGAAGTTCAAAAGCAGGCATCGTAGCCATCTGCTGCTCTGACCCACAGAAAACCTCCTACATTCCAGATATATCTTGGGACAATGTCCAGCCACTACAAACTACTTTTATGCAACTGGGGCAGTAGTGAGAAAACAGACTGAAATGTGAGTCCAAATT